GGAAAGGGAAAGAGTTAAGATACCGGAATTCAAAATGCAACTGATGCAGAAATAATTTCTACTATAAACGTGTGACACTGGCGGGAGCAACCTCAATGCCACTGGCGAATGAGGATTCTACAGCCACAAGCAGATGAGAGACTGGCCCACTCTCCCACAAGGAGCTGGTTAATTCTAGGGCTGGAACTAGAACCCACATGACCTCATTTCCAACCCACTGCTTCTGCCTCCCTTTCAGCTCCAAAATGTGATCACTATACACATGTCTGTTGTTCCATAAATTTCCTTCAAGTAGAAATGAAGGTCAAACTCAGATCTGTCTGAGGAAGAGGCCGGGGACAGCTATCTGGTATCCCCTGAGATTCCCCTCTCCAACAGGGGGGCAGTCCCCATGGCCCCTCTCCCACTTCTCCCAGAGCAGGAGAGGAAGTTAAAGACGGGGTTGTTAGAGGGCTTCCCGGCACCAAAATACTAAACCGGGGGAATGCGGTCACATAGCAAAGCTATAATCACAGAGAGCCGGAGCTACCGGCTGAAAACCAAAGAGGCAGAATCAGGCAATTGAGACATGTTATCAGCCAAAATACAGATCTACATCCAGGTCACAGAAGAGACTTTGTCACAATACCCTTAATTCACATACAAATATCTGAGCTCCAAACCTCAGAGCGGTCAGGGATAAAAACAACTCTACTGGCCAAACCGACCCACCGTGTGAGCCTCTGCACACTCCCTGGACCACCGCTGACCTGCAAGAACCTGGACGTGGTGCCTGGGAACCAGAGTGGCACTTCTGTCCCAGAAGCTGGGGCTTCTGTTTCTCTTCATCAGATTTTTAAATGTTAAGATGACAGGACAGACAACTACTCTATTGGCTTTTCCACCCCCATCACTCTACAAACCTGTTTTCATTCAAGACACAAAACACTTACATTCTCTCAGTTTTGCTTTCCATACAATTTCCTCGGAATCCGTTTCAACCAATAGTAATTTAAACTCCACTGGCTGCTCCAAATATACTTCAATATAACTTTTCAATTTTAAAAGTGAACCATCCACAAATTCAATTTCCTTTAAAAAAAAAAAAGTGATATTTTTTTAAATGGGAAAGTTGTGTTAATTGATAACATACAATGTCAAATAAGGAAGGATGACAATTAAGAGGGTTAGTGCTTGCTTGAATGCTCATGGATATTTTGACCTTGAAAGTCCCCCTCCTTTACCACACACAACTTCTCACTCTCTTGCTTCTATTCCCACCTTACTCCAACCTCCTGTTCCGCTTGAGGCTTCTGGTCTCGTGGCCCTATTTTTCTAAAGCTTAACTTTTCAGCCCTTTCCTGATTTCGACGTTTCATATTCCCAAACTAGAACATGTGCTCACCCATCAGCCACCCTTTTATAAATGCTGTTCAACTCCCTCACCATCTTTTCTTAGATCATTCTACAACATGGAATGGATTCAATGTTTATAGAATACACTATAAGTGTTTTACTCACACTCTCTCTCTGAATACCACCTTCTCCCAACAAATCCTTTTCTTTTTTTTTTTTTTTTACTATTTTATGAATAAAGAATCTCGGAGAAGCAAATGAAGTTGCACAAGTCCACCTCTACGAATTGGCAGAACTGCACGTGAATCCACATCTCTGAGTCCGAAGTGTGAGCTCTAAGCCAACTATCCAGACTGCCTCCTGCCTTCCACTTCCTCTGCTCCTCTCCAGACTGGCTAACAAGCCTGAAGGGAGAAACGCATTTTTAAAAAATGCAGGCATACCTCGTTTTATTGCACTTCACTTTACTGTGCTTCAAAGATACTATGGTTTTACAAGTTGAAGGTTTGTGGCAATTCTGCATGAAGCAAGTCTATCAACGCTGTTTTTCTAACAGCTTTTGCTCACTTTATGTCTGTCACATTTTGGTAATTCTGACAATATTTCAGCCTTTTTCATTATTGTTTCATTTGTAATGGTGATCTGTGATCAGCGATCTTTGATGTTACTTTTGTAATTGTTTTGGGGTATCATGAACCATGCCCATGTAAGAGCTTAGTCAATTAGCATTGTGTGTGTTCTGCCTGCTCCACCAACAGGCTGTTCCCCTATCTCTCTCCCTCTCCACAGCCTATGTCCTGAGACACAATATTAAAATTAGACCAATACATAACCCTACAATAGCCTCAAGTGCTCAAGTGATAGGAAGAGTCTCACACCTCTCACTTCAAATCAAACACCAGGATGATTAAGCTTAGTGAGGAAGGCATGGTGAAAGCTGAGGCAGGCACAAAACTAGGCCTCTCGTGCCAGTTAGTCAAGTGGTGAATGCAAAGGAAAAGCTCTTGCCACAAATTAAAAGTGCTACTCCAGTGAACACATGAATGATAAGAAAGAAAGTGTAACAGCCTTATTGCTGATGTGGAAAAGTTTTAGTGATCTCGATAGAAAATCAAACCAGACACAACATCCCCTTAAGCCAAAGCCTAATCTAGAGCAAGGCCCCAACGCTCTTCAATTCTCTGAGGCTGAGAGAGGTGAAGAAGCTGCAGAAGATGAGTTTGAAGCTAGCAGAGGTTAGTTCATGAGGTTTAAGGGAAGAAGCCATCTCTATAACATAAAAATGCAAGGTAAAACGGCAAGTGCCGATGTAGAAGCTGCAACAAGTTATCCAGAAGATCCAGATAAGATAATTAATGAAGATGGCTACACTAAACGAGAGATTTTCAATGTGGACAAAACAGTCTTATACTGGAAGATGCCATTTAGGACATTCACAGCTAGAGAGAAGTCAACGCCTGGCTCCAAAGCTTCAAAGGACAGGCTGACTCTCTTGTTAGGGGCTAATGCAGCTGGTGACTTTTAGTTAAAGTCAACACTCACCTACCACTCTGAAAATCCTGGGGCCCTTAAGAATTATGCTGAATCTACTCTGCCTGTGTTCTAGAAATGGAATAACAAACCCTGATGACAGCATATCTGTTTATGACATGGTTTATGGATACTTAAGCCCAATATTGATGCCTACTGCTCAGAAAAAAAGATTTCTTTAAAAATATTACTGCTCACTGACCATGCACCTGGACATCCAAGAGCTCTGGGGAGATGAACAGTGAGATTAATATTGTTTTTGTGTCTGCTAACACAACATCCATTCTGCAGCCCATGGATCAAGGAGTGATTTCAACTTCCAAGTCTTAATATTTAAGAAATACGTTTCCTAAGACTATAGCTGCCATAGATAGTGATTCCTCTGATGGGCTAGCAAAGTCAACTGAAAACCTTCTGGAAAGGAGCCACTTTCTAGATGCCATTAAGAACATTTATATTCATGGAAAGAAGTCAAAATATCAACATTAATAGGAGTTTGGAAGAAGTTGATTCCAAGCCTCATGGATGACTTTGAGGGGTTCAAGACCTCAGCAGAGAAAGTAACTGCAGATGTGGTAGGAACAGCTGCAGTTCTAGAAAGAGCATTAGAATTGAAAGTAGAGCCTGAAGATGTGACTGATTTGCTGCAATCTCATAATGAAACTTTAAATGAATGAGGAGTTAGATGAGTAAAGAAAGTGTTTTCTTGACATGGAATCTACTCTTGGGAAAGATGCTGTGAAGACTGTTGAAATGACAGCAATGGATTTAGAATACTACATAAATTTAGTTGATAAAGCAGTGGCAGGGTTTGAGAGGGCTGAATCCAACTCTGAAAGAAGTCCTACTATGGGCAAAATGCTATCAGACAGTGCTGCATGCTACAGAGAAATCATTCATAAAGATTCAATCAATGGGGCAAACTTCTCTGTTATCTTATTTTAAGAAACTGCCACAGCCACCCCAACCTTCAGCAACCACAATCCTGATCAGTCAATTAGTAGTCATCAACACTGAGGCAAAACCCTCCACCAGCAATAAGATTATGAATTGCTGAGGCTCAGATGATGGTTAGCATTTTTTAGCAAGAAAGTATTTTTTAATTCAGGTATGCACCTTGTTTTAGACATAATGCTATTACACACTGAATAGACTACAGTGTAGTATAAACGTAACTTTTATATACACTGGGAAACTAAAAAATTTATGACTCACTTGATTGCAATATTCACTTTATTGTGGTCTGAAACAGAACCCAGTGTCTCCAAGGTTTGCCTGTGTATCACTGAACTGCACTGGGCATTGCCATCATAAACCAATGGTCTTAACTGGTCCCTCTCCCTTTCCACTCCAAATTACTAGCATCATCCTCGCCACCTTCAAAGGGTCACTGGGGACTGTAAAGCCAAGATAACGCCCTTCCCTGGTCCCTCTTCTCAAAACCCCTCTCGTTCTTGTTTCCCAGGAGCTACCCCAGTGCCTCAGGCCCAGCTGCACACTCCCATCACCTCACTCGGGCACTGCAATTCCTTCTACCGGGAGAGACTGTCTCTTCTGGTGGTTCTCTCACCCTTCAAACCCAAAACAAACGTCAACACGTGGGAAGCCTTCCTGAAAACCCACTGCATCTTGTACCTATGTCAATGGGAACACCACATTATGTCAAAATTACTTCTTCACAATAATGTAGTATTTCTCCCTCTATGCTGGAATCTTTGAAAGGAAAAAAATCATGAGTTAGTCATTTTTTAATTCTTAGGCTCTTATCCCAGGCTGACTTGTAACAGGCATTTTTTGATAAATGTCAGTTAAACAAATCATTAATGGTATAAAACTAGTAAGAACACTTTAGATTTCCAAACAGAGTTTTACAAATTTCGGAGTGACCAAAACCATCGCATTATATAATTCTTAGAGCAATCCTGGGAGATTGTCCCCATTCTAAAGGCCCAAAATTTGGTTAAGAGAGCACAGAAAATTAGTGACAGGACTAGACTATTCAAAGTCGTCCAGCCACCAACACCTTTGTAAGAAAGAACTCCTGGAACCATCTCGGTCTCTTCCTGGCCACATTTACCAATCATTCGACAAGTATTATTCCCTCTCCTAGAGGTTCTTAACCTTAGCAGCACATTACGGTCACCTTGGGAGTTTTCATAAGCCCAATGCCCAGGCCATTCCCAGAACAATTAAGTCAGTATCTCCAAAGGTGAGACCCAGGCCTCACCTTTACACTCCTCAGGGAAACCCATTATGCAGCAAAGGCCAAGAACCACTGTCCTAATAAGCAAACCCTTCAAACTGAGTCCCGCCTCCCTGACAAGGCTGCAGATGGCTCCTTAAGAATGTCTTGATGTATCACCTGCCAGGGCCTGATCAGCTTGGAAGGCTGAGCATCAGCCTCTGAGAACCAGTGGAAAGACCGTGTGTGGCATTAGGAACCTGGAGCAGACGGCCTCTGCCTGGGTGTATGTATGACTTAGGCAGAGCACCTGCCTGCTTGGCACACTAGTTTACTCAGCTGCATTGCTGAAAAGGCTCAAATGACAATGGGTTTGAAGAGACCCTTTGAAAGGGAACAGGTCAGTCTGCATTCAAAAGTTAAGTAAGACTGATGAAACTGACTGCTTCTCAGGGCACGAAGCCTGTAATAATATAATAAAATAATGCAGCGTGGACTACTACAGTTAGCTCTACCATGCTTCCCATTTCAATATAATGGAATCAAAACACATTTTCGACTTTTCATATACTATAAAACGAAGAAACAGAAAGATGTGTACAAAAGGAATTGCCATACAGATGTCCAGACTAGATACGCTATGGTACACGTTCAGAGCACATAATTCAAATAGGTTTTAAAAATAACTTAGTCATGTACTGTAAACCTGAAACTAATAATAATTAAAAAAAAACTTAAGTCATTTACGAGAAAGCAAAATCACTTACAAATGCCATGGTGTGTACAGTGAATAGTTTAAATCTAAATAGCAATATGTTCCCACAACCATCTCAAATGCCTTCCAGTAAGAAAAGCCCAATATCTCTTGTTTGCAATTCCTTTCCATTAACCTTTAATGCTCTCTGAATTAAAATTTAAGTTTTTTATTCCTTTGAAGCTAACATTGTTTGAAGAATTTAATAGAATATGCAAGAAAGTTTAAAACCTTTTAAGAGGGAAAGTGATTGGCTAGTCTATTTTTGCAATGGTTGTAGGTTAATCCTAAAATTCAACAGCATCTTTGGGATAAGCTACAAGATTAGCAAAACAACTATTCTCTCTTAAATAAGAAATTAAAAATGAGAACAAAATGCATTATTTTGAAACCTTCAAAACACCATATACCTAAGAAATACACATCTCCGCTGCTACTCCAAGTTGGTTTTTAAAATATATACCTCTGGAGTAATATCGGCTTCTGGTTCGCTGATCAGTCTGTATTTCTTCCCATTCTGCAATAACTTCTGGCAAACAGGAGGCTTGTCGATCTTCATGAATTTCTTAGAGGAGTGCTTTACAGACTTGGAAATATCCTAAAGGTGGAAATAGATTTTGGTTTTGAAATTCATCAGCAACAACTATAAGAATTTTAAGAGTCCAACCAGGGCGGTACCAGTTTGCATGATCTTCATCCCCCTACAAAACGACAGCAACGGAGTAACTTCCACGGAGCTCTCAAAAGAGACCACATGGAAGCTGAGGCACCTTCGGGCTGCAAGCAGGCTCCTGGATCTCCAAACATCTTTCTGCCCAGTACTACTTCACATGTCTCCATCCTTATCTGCACAACTATCCATCTCTGACATGGCCCTAGAGGGGACACCAATTTTATATGTATTGCTTGAATGCCTCAGAGAGGTTAAAGAAAACTTTGGCTCAGGTTCTCCTGGTAAAGCAGCTATACAGCTGATATAAAATTTAGGTTTCCTGAAGGCAAAGTTCAAGGAAATATTTTCCTAGATAGGAAAAAAAAAAAAAAACCAACCCAAGAAAAAGAGTGTAAGCGTAAAACATCCACCAGGAAGGCCTTCCTGCCGCGACAGGACCCTGCTCCCTGTTCCAGCAGCCTCCTTCTCTACGTTTGCTGATGTGACCGACTCCTAATCCCAGCTTCCCAGCAAGCAAGAATAACGCCCTTTTAATTAAGGGAATTTACTTTTAAAACAGATAGTTTCTTAAATAACAGTACTTATTACAAAGGCATGCTAATCATATTTTAGACAGGATTATTTTTATACCATTTTGAAGACTAGCTTCCCAATTGAACATATTATCTTTATTCAGATTATAGGAAGCATATTTCACCCTCTTAGGAAGAAACTAAACCTATTCGTTAATAAAGTTTTTAAGTTTTCATATATATTGCTAATGAAAATCAGTATAGCTTATTTTTAAAGATGAAGAAATACTAATACATTGGGAGTAGTTTGATATAAATTCTGTAACTCAAACTATAACTCATCAATTAGTACACTTTATTATAGACCCGATGCTTATATTTTTAACTTATGTCAAACTCTGATTTCAAATCTGAAAGTATAATTTTGAGTCACCGTATTATCTGTCTACTTTATGTCATTTCTCCACCCACCCCTAAGCATTACAACTGTACCGACAATGGCTAAAGGTATGAAAGGAGATTCAGTTACTACTATTCTAACTTATATATGAGTTCAGAAAATGGGCTAAATATCACAGCCTAACTCTATCTACATTCTGGAAAGCTGAACCATTATGAATATCCAAACCCCTTCCCCTCCCTTCAGGCACAAAAGGTGCATCATGAACTTCTGCTGCTACAAACCTCAGAATGTTGAAACCATGAACTGTAGGTCAACTGTGATCCAAAACACTGCTCGGAATGAAATGAATTAGCCTGGGAAGCCCATCTTATCTGAGGAGCATTCAGCCAAGGAGAAACTTCAATTACCTTACACTTGACCCAAAGACCTCAAACATCTCCCCAGTGTATTCCAGAGCAGGTGCTTCTCACCCGCTCAAGTGTGTACGACTTCCATGGGAATCCTGCCGAGGGCAGGCTCTGATTCTGTAGGTCTGGGGTGGGGCTGAGATTGTGCTAAAGTTCTGACAAACTCCCAAATGATGCCAATGGCCCTGATGCCCTGGTTCCCAGACCACATTCTGAGTAGCATTGCTGCAGAAAATAGCTGGCCTCGGCTGTCCATCAGGCAACCATCTCAGGGCCAGGCCTACTTGCCTGGGCCAACCCCACCCTGGAGAGCTATTCCCCATCTGTTGTCTTCTTGAAGCTGTTTACAAGTACAATTATACTCTCTGGATTTCAGACCTTGGCACGCACCTAAGCATTGACCTTTAACCTCTATAGCTAAGCGCCAAATTGCAACCAGAGTGTGGGGACACTTAACAGGGACAGGACCTACTCCTAAAGGTGGTGTTATGATTGAACACCAAGTATTCAACATTTACTATTCATTTTTATTGGATTTACCTTGATGAAGGAATCGTTATTGGTTGCTATATATACACGAAGAGACAAAGATGGATTATGGTCCACGACTTTATACAGAATCACAGCCCCGTGGTGGTACAATGTGTCTTCGCTTTGAATAACAGGTCCCACAGGAGAGAGCGAGCTCACGTGCCATTTGACATGACTCGCAGAATGATCCACAGTATATTCTAATGAGGCCCCACCAGACCTTTTGACATGGAAGACTCTGAATGTCATGCTGGAGTCATGGTCTGTTAAAATACGAAGGTAAATTAGTATTCCAGGTGTTGTTTGGTTTCCACATATATACTTTCACACATAAACACATGCACACGATAATTAATATTTCAGCAAACAAGTACTTACGACCCAAGCAGAGGGAATGTGGAAACTGAATGGAGGTAAGACAGGTTGGGTCACATTTAACATCAAACAAGGGTCCCCCAACAGCCCAGGGCTTAACCACCAGGTCTGCGTATTTGCTCCAGGACAAAACGCAATACTTGATGTCAACTTTTCTGTTAACCTCAAATATCAGACCAGTCTCCGTGCACTCGTAAATTCCCTCCGCATCCACCTTCAGTCTGTATTGGACAGATAAGAACACCTGTTTAGTCCTAATGTTTGGTTAGCAGTAACGAAATTACTTATGTTTTTAATTTCATTCAGAATGCTATCGCATGTTAAAGAAGCATTATCGAAGAAAACAATCCAAGTAATTACATAAAATGTGTGAAATCAGTTATGCTGCTTTGGGTTTCCCCTGCTTGGGGTTATTTTTATGTAGAAAATTAAATTACTGATGCCATTAAGTCTCCTGTATTCACAATTACTTACAAAAACTGTCCCCTGGAAAGGAGTCTGGGGGTCACTTGTTCATTGTGTTTCTGAAGAAAAAGTATACATATAATTAAGTAATGTGTAAGTAAATGTTTTCTTAGAGCAAATTAGAGGATCACATTTTATAATTAAAAGATACTTACATTTTCAGCATTACAGTGTTCACAGTGAGGTTTAAGTTTAATACATTCTAAATGAGAGAGACAAAGTTTTACTTATATGAATGTGATTAGCATTTCCAACCAAAAATTTAAAAATAAATATATATGCCCAGATTATAAAATTCAAAGATATATGCTCCTCAGCAATAGTATTTAAAAGAATATTTTAGAAAACGTAATATTTTAGAAAATGTAAGTTCATACCTGAATTTAAATAATCTGTGGGCAATTCTTTATCCTTCCATTCTTTAGCTGTAAAAGACATCATCACACAAGTCAATGTGTGGCATAAGTCAATCACAGCATGAATCACCTACTAAATACACATCTTCAGCTCCACAACCAACAGGAACTTTAAACATATATTTAAACATCTCCATGAGTCGACTCAATGGCACACAATACATTATTGTGTTTGTGAACCCCACTGTAAGTCTAAGGCGTGAAAATAAGTTTGAATGTGACTCAAGTTTCAAGGCACCCCATTTTGGCACATAGGTCTCTAGCTGATCTTTTTATTTGGCAGCAATCATTCTCATCATCCTTCAACGTGATCCCCACGTCCTCCTCTAACATCACGGCATGGGAGTGAGAGGGCTTAGAGCAAACAGGAGGGCAAGCACACTGTCTTGCTCTTACCCTGAGTGGAAGCTTCCTGGGTGGGAGACTCTCCTATTTCTCCATCTGTAGAGACAAGAAGGGCTTAGGGCACAGGTGGTAGTCAACAAGCTGTTCATTAGTTACTCCTCACCTAGGCCAGCGTCTCAAGTGGGGAGCTGCAGCCCCCACTGGAGAGTCATTCATGGTGACCAGGAGTCTGGAACTAAGCTGGAGTCATTATCCCCAAGACAACTGGGGATAAGTTGCAAGCCTGGCTGGCATCAGCTCCCCCAGGCTATCAGAGAGCTAGAGAGAGATTAGCTTGGAAGTTGGAAAGAAACTAACATCTGACTGCAGGCGCTGTTTGTAAGAGTCTCTGATTTAGCATGGATTCCTTCCACAGGACCCTCTATGATCCAGCTCCCCATCTGCTATCAGCTCCCCTACCCCTTACACTTACTGCCCTCCAATCTCCCCTCCCCATGTCTCCACACCAAAGCACACTTCTACCTCAAGGCCTTTGCACGTTGTCTCCTCCCACAAATATTCACGTCACTCACTCCCTCACATCCTTGAGGTGTCTGCTCCAGTGCCTCTAATCTGAGAGGCTTTCCTGCTGGCCCCCTGAAACTTGGCCTAAGGCACTCACTCTTCCCCTTTCATTCTCCTTCAGGGCACTCCCTCACCCCTACCCAGCATAATACCAACCCCACAAAGTTTGGAAAATTAATTACAGGCAGGGATTTTTGTCTGGCAAGTGCTTGGTGCTATGGCAATGCGTAGAAATCATTAAAAAATTCAAGAATCCTAAAGTAGAAAACCCTGTCACCTGGGTCAGGCCTAATGTGTCAAATGTTTGGTTTTATGGTTTAAAGGTCTGAACAACCTTTGGGAGGGTCACCCAAGGAGCAGGACAGGCACTCCTCAAGACATGTGTAAGGTCCTATGCCATCACCAGTGCCCAGGGTGTGCAGACGGTGCCCTGGGACAGTGCTCCAGCCCGAGCCACGCAAACTGCCTGATTTCTCAAGGCTATCAGGGCAGTGTCCAGGGACCACGGTCGCAAGAGAAAGCCAGCTTCAAAAATCACCACTAAGATAAAATGGCAAAAGGAGACTAAAAGTATTCAGGATCCTGTACTCAGACTGCTATAGATGAAAAGGTTCTGAAATACTGACCCAAGTCCTGCACCACACAACCCTCCAACCGTATTTCCTCAGCCGCTGCCCTTTAAAGGACCGTTAAATTCTGAATTATTTAATGGCTGTACATCTATGTTGTATTTCATCCACATCCCATGTTTTCCTGTCCTGCTATTTGCCTAGGGAGCAGAGAAAAGGGAAGAGATTAGAGAATCCTAACCAGCCGGCAAACTCAGTTTTTGACCACATCCTGCCAGCCAGGGCAGAGAAATTGAACCAATTCTCCCCAACCTATAAGTCATAGCTTCTCTTCAACTCATATGACACAGATGACCGCAGAGCTCACACCTGCAAGCAGAGGCACATCAAAGTACGAGGAAGATGGGCAGGCAGCATCGCTGGCCAGGCCACACAGGAGCAAGCATCCCAGGGGCATCCCACCTGCTCCCACACCTGACCTAAGAATAGAGCTGAGCAAGAGGGTACCTGTCCCATCTCTCCCCAAGCGTGGAGGATAACAGGCCTTTTCACAGAAGGAGTAATCCTGGGAGAAGGCAAGGCCCTTTGGATGGACCTGGGGCTCCAAGGACAAGCATCCTCAGCCTACAGAAGATGCCAGAGCACTTTCACTGCCAAAGACATCCAGTGTCTAATCCAGCCAAGGGCCAGGGCCAGCTGCTCCCTGCCCCTCACATGCCCTGTCTGACTGCACTGACCCCAGCCTTCGACCTAGTTCTGAGCCCATCTTTAGCCTCACTGAGTCCAAATGCCTTCCACTTGGGTTACCTGTCATAGTCCAGGCCTGGCTTCTGGACCGTAAAGTGTCTTGCCTCTGGACTCTAGGTCCCTATGGCCATTTACCCAGTGTGCCAGGGACAACAAAGCCATGATCCCAATACTCAGCTTTCTAACTTCATTTCAACCCTAATCCAATCTATAAAGGCTAGACGTTTTGAAGGATGAAATAATCCATTAATAAAGAAGACTGTATAAAGAAGATTGTATAAAGAAGATTGGGAACAGGAGGGCTGGTACACATTTTTTCCTCATGGGTATCAGAATGTGACATCTACTACACCAGGATAATAGAGATAATTACGGGTTCTTATCAATACATAACATGATTGCAAGGAGTTTATGATTGCCTTCAGAGATTCCCCACTGGGAAACTGCAGAGAGAATTAGTTTAAATACAGAAGGACTTCTGAGTGAAGAGACTTCATTTACTCTAAAGTATTAAAGGAGCCCTCCAACTGGGTTGTGTAGTATTTGTGTTCATGGGCAGATCATATCCTAAGGATTGGGACAAAATCCTACATTAAAAAAAAAATCAGTTAAAATATAAGCTTAGTCACGAAACTTTATAACAAAAACCATATTTTCTATTTAGAATCTCTGTCCTTAAAGTAGTTTCATATTCAAGTTGCTCACAAATAGCCAGAACTCACACCAGAAACTCTAAACCACAAATGGTACAATACTTTCAGCAGCAAAGAGTTTACTCTGTGATAATCTGTGAGCAGTGACCACCACGGAAGGAAGCCAACACCGCTTGTGGCTACCCTGCAGATTAGGGTCGGTCTCTCAAATCTTTTTTCCTTAGGGAAACTAAGAGCAGAACCTCACATGCAGAGTGTTGGTATCTACGCAGATCAAGAACACAGTCCTAGCAGTCCAAGTGCAGTGAGCTCAAATTTTCAAAATGCTTGGTCACGTCCTAATGTTAAACTCAGTTTTGCACAGAAAAAGATCATGAACAAGCAACCTGCAACTTAAAAATCCCAAAGGCCATCCTTCTCTTTCTTCCTTTCAACAACAAAAGATAAAATTCAGAGGAAGGATATACTCACTTATTTTTTCTGTTTTTGGCTCCTCATTATCTACCAAAAAAAAAAAAAGGTCTATATCAGATTCATGTGACAACTAAGAGAAAATACAGGCTAATGGGAGAATAGGTAAAATGTTTGCCTTTCACCAATAGCAACCATTTCCTGTCTTTCTTCTTTAGCTCATCCTGTTTTGCCACTTCACCTGCCAACTAGAAATTATTTACCACGTAAATCCTTTTTCAGTATTTTATAAAACTATGCTAGTAATTAATATGTCCTTGAGCAATATAAGTGACATGTGTATTACTTTAAAATGAAAATAAAGGTTTAGGTGTTTTGCCTGAATTAAAGAAACAGATACATATATTACTTACCAGAGTCACTTTCAGAATTGCTCTCAGAACTGCTGTCATCTCCTAAATAAAAACATATACCGGAAGTACACAATGAATAAAATGTAGGACCTTTTAAAAAAATTGTATGCATTATAAAACAGATCCAAACTCAACTAATTTATTTTTTTAGTCAATTCTCGACTCCAGAACTAGTTTGGTTCACATAAAAGGGGGCTTGTTCATCTTTGGAAATGGATAAAATAAACTTGAATCATTTAAATATGAGTTCGGATCACACTCTGGCTACAATAATCATTTTATATGGCTGTCATCCAAGTCCTACCAGGCCTTGACCTGCCCCTATTGTTCCCATCTTGCCCCTGCACTTGGACATCTAGAGGGTTCCCAGGCACAAGTTCAATGATGAAACGGTGAAGAATTCTGGAATGTAGTGCCATTTCACTGAAGCACGGGACAAACTTAGTCCATGCTGTTCAACCACTCCTGGAAACAGTAGTCCCTAAGAATGCTCCCTCCACTTTTCACCCCCAACTCTACACCTCTGCCCACTGCAATCAGGCTTCCGTTCCCACGACCAGCTCAGGATCCTTTCCCTGATGTCCCCCAAAGCCTGCTCACCCCCACGCCCATGGTTCCTGGAGGGAAAGACACCTGCCACTCCTTCCTGCGTGTACAGCCCTCCCACCATGTCTGTCCTGGTTCACCTCCTACCTCTTGAGTGCCCTTCACTTATCTCTGGGCTCCTCTCCACCTCCCACCCCCAATGACTAATGCCCCAGGTCCCACTGCCCACTCTCAGCCTCCTTTCCACCTTGAGAGCCCTGGGAGGCCATTTCACCTATTCCCAAATCTGTAAGTCCAACCTCCACCTCCAGTGCCCCTGGACCTCTCCTGGCTGACTGTGGATGCACCCAGGCCCACTCTGCCAGGTCAAATTCATCTCCTTCACTCCTGGTCCTCAGTGATTCCTCCTCCTGTTCTCCAGATGCTGCCTCACCCTCCACTCAGGGTCAGGAGTCAATGAGTAAATACATGGAAAGCTATCAACATTATTCTCCAATCTTCCGCAGCCATTTATAACTACCGACAACCAAAACCAAGGACTGGCAATAGTTCCATGGAAGAAGGAAAAGATTTGAGAATAATGATGAGAACAATAAGATTCAATTGCTATTTTGGAGTGTTAACTACATGCCAGGCATGGCACATGTATTTAGACATTTACATGTATTTACTCATTTATTTACTCATTTTGCACATATGTATCTATATATTCTACATATATTTATAAAAGTGTTTTACATATATTTACACATTAGTTCTCACAGCTGCCCAACGAGGTAAGCTGAGGCCAGTTAATCTACTTATGCAAGACCGTCATCACTGCCACCTCGCCGTCCTCCCACAGGAAGTCTCGAGCTAGGATTTCAGCTCAGGCAGACTGGCCCCAGCTTGCAGTTCTTAACCATGTTGTTACACTTACAGGCATGCTAATTATTACTTAGACAGTTCAAGCCCCAGGAGTTACTGGCTGGTTGGGGGTGGGGGGAGAAGGGGAACGGGAGGAAATTCCTGCATGAGAAGACAATTGAGTGTACGGGGAGGCGTTCACCGTGTAGTTGTGTAGGGACAGATGCTAGGAAATCAAGGTGATACGACACAGTTTTGTCCTTCATGGTTGGAAGCACAGAGCAGAGGTTCTCAACCTGGGCAGCACACTACATCACCTGGGGAGCTCTCTAAGCACACCCATCCATGCCTGGGACTCTGCCCTTCCTCAGAGGATCTGATTTAACTGGTCTGGAGTGGGCCTCAACAGCAGTATTTTTTTAAAGGCCGCTAGATGATTCCAGTGTAGCCAGGTTTGAGAACCACTTGACTAAAATCAACCTATCTTAATCATGCCCCTGTCCCCCAAACTCACACCCCGGATGACCGCCACTCCTTCCTCCAAGCCTTGAGAGACGTCTTCCCACTGCCCAGAACCCTTTCCCCAGACCCACCTGCAGAGCTCCTAGGTACCCACTAAGATCGATCCCAAATGTCACATCTGTCACCTTCGTAAGCATCCCTCCACTCCACTGAGTCAGCCACGCCTCTTTTGTCATCCATCCTGTCAAATTCTTCCCACTGTCAATCAGTGGCGGCTTGTTTAGCTGCTGGTCTATGAGCCCTGGAGGACTCCCCACCTCCATCCCTCACAGCAGCTCAAGGAATGAATGCACATGTGAATGAACCAATGCTCTGCCCAGTGTTGAAGTGCCAAGCAGACCTTACCATGGCCCCTCTTTATTCAGTTGGTTCCCTCTAAGAGTCTGGAACCTCAACAGCAGCGGTCCCCAACCTTTTTGGCACCAGGGACCGGTACTCCTATGAGACTCTAATGCCTGACGATCTGAGGTGGAGCTGAAGCAGTGATGCTAGTGCTGAGGAGTGGCTACAAATACCGATGAAGCTTCAGTCGCTTACCCACCACTCACCTCCTGCTGTGAGGCCTGGTTCCTAACAGACCACGGACCAGTACCAGTCCACAGTCCGGGGATTTGGAACCCCTGCTCTACAGAGCTGCAGTTCTGCCTGGGCCAGCCCCTGGTGAGGCCCAACCTGCTGCCTCAGGTCCCTGGGAGATGAAGTCTCCTTCAGCGGGGTGGGAGGCAGGCAGAGGGTGTGACTCTGGGGCCATCCCTTCAGGTCAGCTGTCTACTAGGGATGGCCCTAGGACTCCTGGTTCTATCTCTGCTCCCTAAAGCCCCTAGGACCATTTTTCTGCACAAATTTGAGAACTAAGAAAGATATCTATAAAGAATGAGCAGCCCAGGGCCTGGCACACAAGTAGGCACTTAATAAGTAAGTGGTAGCTATTTTTACTAATAGGTCACACTCACTCCTAAACTTCTGTGACAGGCACTGGCCAACCTTGTTATTACAAAGCACTAAACCCTTCCCATATTTCTGCAAGGGAGAGCTCTGACAGCAGCACCTATGTTCTCTGATTCCGGTCACCAAATCTTCTTCAGTCTTTGGAAGCAAGCACTGTACACTTTCCCATATCAGGGCCTTTACACCCACAAGTCTTTTGAACTTAGATAGCTCTTTTCTCCACCTTTGCCCTGTTACCCCAATTCATCACCTCCTCCGGGAAGCCTTCCAGGACTACTGTAGCCAAGTGACCACCACATTGCTAGGCTTAAGGAGGACCTGTATTAGGTTAGTGTGGTCAGTCTAGAAAACGGCCTAATTGCCCCACTGGATAAATTCTCAGTTTCACTAAGCACAGCTTCATCGCCAAGCTTTAAAGTAATTGATTTCACTAGAATAGGTAATCATAAAACTCCAAAATTTATTCAACTCTTTCAAGTAGAAAGATGAAAGTCCCTACCTTTCACTCAGATTGTTTGAAGTAAATCAGAAAATAAACTGTAATTTATCTTGCTATGAATTGCTTACTTTGTAAAAATTTCACTTGGACATTTACCGATATTAATCATATCCCTTACCTGATTTAGAGTCCTTTGAAGTATCTAGGTTGGGGCTAGGGCAATCTAAATTTTGAGAAAGAAATAAAGTTTAAGAGTGTAAATACAAGCACAAAGGAAAACATGTTCTTTTTTGTAAAATCCACTAAGCGAATAAAAATAGAAGCACCCTCTGCTATAAAATGAGTCACCTCTTTAGAGCAGCCTTGAGTGTCAAACTAACGCAAATGATGGCATATTCTCAGGGGAAAAAAAGATTTAGTCCAAGAAACATTAAGCTTTTTCCGGTAGAAGGAGAACAGAAAGCCAACAAACTTTAGAATTACATTTGGTTGGTTCCCTGGTCAACTCTCTTCAGTGGCAACCTAAAAACATCCTGACAATTAAGTAACTTGACACCAGAAAGGAAAAGAGCACCGGGTTTCAGATTCTGTAACTAAAGGGCAGGCAATGGTGTTCCCATAGCAAAGAATCAGTGTCCCTTCCCCAGGCAAACAACTCGTCAATAATTTAGGGAAATGACACAAATGAGTTAAAGATAAGACTCTGAACTTGGCAGAAAAGGTGGGACCAGACCAGGGAAGGCCTGGAAGGCATTTGGGAAGCACTGGCATCCCCCTTGACGGTTCTGGCGACACAGAATGACATGAGAGCTTCAAACTGGAATGGGCCTTGGTATTTCCCAAGATGCTGGGCACCACACTGTTCAGGACAGATCAGACTCCAGAGAGCCTGACACTAAGAAGCCAATGCAGAGATCCAGATGCGAGGTGATGAGAATCTAGGCCAGTATGGGTAGCCACGGGAATGAAGATATTATATAGATAGAGAAGATGGGGGTTACAGAAGTTACCAGCAAAGTTAAATAAAGCAGGAACATTTCTGGGTATGGAAGGGCTGTTCCTTAGTTATCATGCCACATGTCTGTATTTATGCCATGTTCAATTAGACTGTCCTGGAGAAAAGAATATCCACCCACACTGGGCTGGTGAACAACAGGGCTTCAGCTATCGGTTGACTAATTCCATTGGGCTTAGGCAGAGACTACAGTCTCTTTAATTTTATGAACACTGACTTCGTGTAAACTATGTGATGGGCCCTCTGCAGAAATTATGAGAAAATCCATGCCCCAGAAGACAGCTTATGGGTTAACGTAATTGCAAGGGCAAAGAGTAGCTGTGCATTAAACAAATCGCAACAAGAAATCACTATAATACAATACGAAATCAGGGCTATATTCTGTTGGTCCAAGAGAGAAATTGACGAGTCACTAAAGACGAGGGATTCAGCACGAATTTGGTTGAGCTCAAACAAGTTTTGGAGATGAAATGTGAGGGAAGAGGGAGGCATCTCAGGCAGAAAGAGGCAAAAGCAAAGCAAGGATGTGTTTCCTGTGGGTGGGGGGTTCAGCTCAGCACTGTAAAGCAGAAAAGCCCAACACGTCTAACCACCGTCTTGACAAACACATGACATCCCCACATGCTGCACATTCCAGCCAAATGTTACAGAAAGCTTTTCCAGATTTTAATTGTAATATTTAACAATTTACAATTTACAAACTACAAGAGGGTAACAGAACTTAACAAAAGCAAGACAGTGGCCCAATGATGAGCTAAAGAGTTTCTAAGTCAGTATGCACATAGCCAAGTGACACAGATTAGCACCAAACATGGCCTCCAGAATGGCTCTCAGCCACGAGGCGTGGGATAGAGAGACGGCCAAAGCAGGAAATATAGCCCCACAAATGTTTTACAAATTTTCAAAGCAAGAAGCACAGGCCAAAAAGAGGACTGGACCCTGAACAGCCTCCACACCAAACCCAGACCTAGTTTATTCTTTTAATGAGAGTTTTTATTGACCCAGATTCAGGGAGAGAATTATGTGTTGCTATTTTCAGTAAGTGTATAAAATTGATGATAACACTCAAGTATTATAGACAATGCCAAGTTATTATGCATGGAAAATTTATGGAATTCAGTTGATAATGTTTGCTAAACTTTACTGAATTTAAAATAAGCTTAAAAAAAGAACATTAGACACAGTTTGAAAGGAGGGAGATATAATAGCATTTACTTTCCATTCTCAAGTTGTGAAAAGCTACGAAGGCCCAAATTCTTTACATTTTACTTTTTAAAATATCTTTTGAAAAATAATCTTAAAAGTCTAATAAAAGTCATTATCCCATCATCCTAACCTAATGATTATTTTAATACATTTTTATTTCTGTAAGTTGGTGAATGTATGAATGTAATAAAGCAACTGCAGCCAATAAGTAAAATAAATCATTTTCTAAAACTGCAAATGTTTCATATAGTATAGATCAAGTTTTCTGATAACTCAACATTGAGAGTACCATACCTTTTTCTTCTGAAGAAGCATTGTAATCATCACTAGAACAAGAAAAGAAAAACAGTTTTAGGAACTGATACTAATTTTATGAAAATCTTCTAATGGATCATTATATTATGTGTCTCCAGAGATGCTGCAGATTAAAGAACTCTCTCCCTCCTCGGTGCTCTTCCTGCCCCTCTCACTCTCCATGGCCTGACTCCAAATTGCACAGATACATGGAGCTTATCAGGTGTGCCCCAGAATCCTTGCCCTGCTATGCCTCCAGGAGCCACCAATACACCTTTACAGGTTCACAGCATTGCCATGTCTGTGCCTAGTCACTGGCCTCCCTCTGTCATGTCTCCTGTAACATAATCCTAATCGCCCATCCCCCGCTGGCCTCCAGCCCCTCCATCTGGCTCCCTTTGAGAGCTTCCCTGAGTCATCCTCCTCTTCAAGGTCTTCTCATTCTGTTTCTCTAGCCTCTTCCTTCAGATACAGCATGCCTGAGAAATGAAGAGTTCAGACAGCTCTCATTTAACTAAGAGGTCCCTCCCTTGACCTATATTCTCCATTCTCACCAACTGCCTGAACTCTCCGCCCTTCTCAAGCCAGCCTCATAGAAGAACTCAGTCTCCACATTCCCACTCTCCATTCTCTCCTAGACTCAAAGGCTTCTGCTCTCCCATGTGACCAAAACCACTCTAGCTAGAGCCACCAATGATTCCCGCCCAGCAGACTGAACCGTGACCACTTTCTCTTTAGATAAAGCAGGTGACAGGCTCTTCCATGGCTTCCAGTCCCCTCTCACCTGGTCTGCTCCTACCTTCTCTGTCTCAGCAGCCTCTCCTCTCTCCACATGCTCCATCTCCTGGCTGTATCTGCTCCAGCCTCCTGGAATTGATGTGACCCAAAAATCACATCATGCACCGTCCTCTTCCCCCTCCTCTCTGCCCTGGTGCTTGCCTTCACACCAAGCTTCAGATCCCAAATCCTCACCTCCTTCTCAGGCCTCTTCCCTGAGTTCCAGGTGCCTTGTACCTGGGGGTCACTTCAGCACTTAACTAATTATTGCTTTACCTCCCCATGAAAACTCACTCCTCTCTTTGCAGAGAATCACATCACTGGGTCACCTAATTGGAATCTCCAGGTCATCATGAGCTCCTGTTCCCTCTTCCTCATCCAGAAGCCAATCCAAGTCCTCCTGAGCTGCCTCCGGTACATCTCTCATATCCGTCCCCTCCTCAGCATACACTGTTTCTACCTCAGTTCAAGCTCTCTCTTGCTTCACTGGCTCTCACCTAGCTGGTTGATTACAATTTCCTCCTAATTATCATACCTGCCTGAAGTCTCACTCTTGGCTCATCCCTCATGTGACCATCAGCATGGTCTAAATCATGTCTTTGTTATACCCTTCTGTGGCTTCTCACTAATTCCTGGCTAAAGCCTAAGTTCCTTGGCACAGCATGCAAGGACCTCCACTCTGCTCCCTTGTCCCCCATCCTGCCAGCTTCTCCAGAGTGAAAGATTGTCAGTGCCCCAAGCACACCCTGCATCTCTCTCTCGCTCGCTCGCTCCCGCACGCGCGCGCACACACACACACACACACACACACACACACACACACCTGGGTCACTGCCCGGGGCCTTGCAAGTCATGCACCCTCTCCCCAACTCTGGGTGCTCCATGGACATATACTATGATGCTGGAGTTATGTGTGCATGTAAGTGACAGCTCTGCCTTCCCCCTTGATGCCCAAACTCCTACTCATCCTTTACGAACAGCATTTCTCAAGGAGTGGTCTGAGGACCATTAGATCACTAAAAGGTGCCCTCTAAAAATAGTTTTTCTGAGCCCACTAAATCAGAACCTCTGATGAATACATGAAAAGGCAGGAAGAAAACTAAAATGGTGTTTGTCTGCACTTATGGGTGCTGAAAATTTCTTTATTTTCTCATTTAATCATCCCAATAAACCTATGAAGGCTATTTTACAAATGCAGAGACTGAGGCTCAGAGAAGTTAATTAAATTCCTCAAGGTCACACAACTAACAATTTAGAAAAGGATGCACCTGACCCCACGCCATTATGACTTCAAAGTCCATGTACTTGCCTGGTACCATGTCTTCCCTCCCTCCCCACCACTTCACCCCCAAATCCCAATCCTGATAGTAAAAAGTAAACTGAGGAAGAACACAGCAAAAGACCCTTCCCGTTCTCTTCTTTGCCCATGTTAGTTGGGAACCCCCAGGTTTTGTAAATCTCCTTGACTCAAGATTTTATACTGGTAAACTTCCCAAGTATTTGGTATTTCCCAAGTTCCAAGATTCTAGGAAATGCATGTATTCTCATTTTCAGACCTAAATCCTCTTGTTTTTTAATTCTAAACTCCTACTCAAAAGATCAGAGAGCAGTAGTGAACCTAAAATTGGGAAATCCTTCATGAAACCAAAACAGGCTAACATATGGTTCCTGATGAAATACATAAAACAAGCCAACCGTTACATCATTTTTCTCTAGACTCATACTGTTTATAATGCAATCACCACACCTTTCAATTTTAAAATATTCTGAGAATATGGAGTGAGCGTTAGCCATTCCTATTTTACAAAACATTATCTGCTTAAAACCCACTTTTAGGTCCTCAGTGACAAAACTGCATTTTTCTCTTAACTGGAACTTTCATAATCCCCTTTCTACACCTGCTTATCTCTATTTCCAGGCGTGTGTATATATCTCCTTAGATAATAGAACTTCTGCTAAAACCTAGAAACCTCTGTATAAAACCTTTATTTTCTCTATAAAGTAGATGAGAATGAGTGGTGTCCATAGATGCTCTACCCAATACATAAAAACCAACACAGGGAGGCAGCCGAAAAGAGGAGACAAAGACACATGTCCCAAATGAAAGATCAGACCAAAGCTCCAGAAAAAAAAATCTAAATAAAAAGGAGACAAGCAATCTACCAGATACAGAGTTCAAAACACTGGCTATAAGTATGCTCAATGATCTCAGCGAGAACTTCAACTAAAGAAACATAAAAAAGAATGAAGAAGACAATAACTGAAATGAAGACTACTTTAAAGAGAATCGACAGTAGATGAGGCGGAGGATCAAATCAGCAATTTGGAAGATAAAGTAGCAGGAAACACCCAATTAGAACAGCAAAAATGAAAAAGAATCCAAAAAAAAAAAAAATGAGGATAGTTTAAGGGGCCTCTGGGACAATATTAAGCGTACCAACATTCCCATCACTGGCGTACCAGAAGGAAAAGAGAGAGTAAGGAATTAAAAATCTGTTTGAAGAAATAATGACGGAAAACTCCCCTAACCTGGTGAAGGAAAAGCACAGAGTCCCAAACAAGATGAACCCAAAGGGGCCCACACCAAGACGTCATAATTAAAATGCCAAACGTTAAAGACAAAGAGGGAATCTTAAAAGTGGCAACAGAAAAGCAGTCAGTTTCCTACAAGGGAGCTCCTTCCTATAAGATTGTCAGCTGATTTTTCAACAGAAACTTTGCAGGCCAGAAGAGACTGGCATGAAATATTCAAAGTGATAAAAGTAAGAACTTAAACCAAGATTACTCTACCAAGCAAAGCCATCATTTAGAATCAAATGACAGATAAAGATTTTCCCAGACAAGAAAAAGCTAAAGGAGTTCATCACCACCAAACCAGTATTATAAGAAATGTTAGAGGGGCATCTTTAAAAAGAAAAAAAGAGATCAAAAATATGAATAATAAAATGGCAATCACTACATATCTATCAATAATTACTATAAATGTAAATGGATTAAATGTTCCAATAAAAGGAGAGAGAGGGTGTCTGCATGGATAAGAAATCAAGACCCTTAACTCAGCTATAAAAAAGAATGAAATCGTGCCATATGCGACAACATGGATGGACCAAGAGAGCATTGTGTTGAGTGGAGAAATTCAGAAAGAGAAGGACAAATGCCATATGATTTCACTTAAATGTGAAATCTAAAGAACAAAATAAAAACAGAAACAAACTCATAGATACGGAGAACATTTTGATGGTTGCCACATGGGAGGGGGGTTAGGAGGTGGGTAATAAAGGGGAAGGGATTAAGAACTACAAATTAGAAGTTACAAAATAATCATGAGGATATAAAATATAGCATAGGGAATATAGTCGATAATATTGTAATAACTATGTAGGGTGTCAGTGAGTACTAGATTTATAAGGGTGATCACTTCGTAAGATATATAAATGTCTAATCACTACATCTAATAATTGTTTATATAATATTGTGTGACACTTCCAATTAAAAATAAAAAAAAATATTAAAAAATAAAATAAAAACAAATACCCCCAAATTCACACAGCAAGTTATAAACAGAGACAATCTTACAACTTGTCTCAGCCTCTTGGTTTACATATCAATTCGTTCATTTAACATGTAGGGATTATGTGCTAGGCACAAGTGAACAAAGCAAACAGGTCTGTGCCTTCAGGTCTATGCCTTCGAGAAACTGTCAGTGCTAAGGGGAGTGGAAGGGCCTCTTCCTGTATCTGAAAGAGAAAGTGCTTTGAAATAAGAAAAGAGAGCCTGTCTAAGATTGAGAAGCTGGGAAAGGCTCTGGAGGAAGTGACATTTAAGCTGAGCCAGAGAAAGGACAAGCAGGAATAAACAAGAGAGGAAGAACTGGGGGTGAGAGGAGGGTGAGATTCTGTCTGAGGCAGTAAGGAGTTGATCAAGATCCGGAACAGGGGGAAAGCAAGCGTGGTCAGCAGGAGAGAAGCAAGAGAGATGGGAAGGAGGAGAAACTCTAATTCTGTACTGACACAACCGCCAGGATGCTGAGTGGCGATCACTCAGTCTCCTGAGTAGTCTCTAGGAAGAACTGAAACTTGAAAGCAGAGGAGGAAATCAAGAGTGCAGGGTCCCAGAATCTGTCGACATCACAGATGGGGAGTGCCTGACCTTGTGTAACCCCCTGACAATCTACAGGTTCAGACACTGCCTTTGTTAAGTTCAAAAAGCCCAGGCACTTCCCTGAAGAAAACCTTACTCCCCTAGGCCACAACAGTCAGCTCAAGAAGTTGTAGACTGGATGAGAAATCTCTCCTAGGAGGCCAAGTAACTGAGGAAATGAACTTCATTCAGAATCAAGCTCTGGAAGCCAACAACACAGCCGGCTCCATACCGGCCAGGACAGAAGGATTTCCTCAGTGCCAAGCCTTCTGGGACCATGCCCTGGGGTGGTCAGGGACTCGAAGGTGGGAAGCAGGCTGGGCGGCAGCAGAGATACGGGCGCCCTAAGCCGCCAGCGATCGATCCCCTCAGAGGATACTTCCAGAGCCAGGCTAGTTTCTCATCATCACCCAGTTTCTTATCTTCTAAGCCCCAAAGATCACCGCTTCCAATCAACTTGCCCACGAGAGAAGCCATCCTGTGGCTTTTTTTTCTAATATGACCAGGAGCACAGGTGTCAATGCTTCCGAAGGTACTTAGCCCTGGCCAAGATGGAGAACGCACAGGGCTGGCTCTCCAAGCTGGTTCCTTCACCCTCAACTCTCCCTCTCCTTTTTTCAGTTACACCAGCAGGATAAAAAGTTGAAACTGGTAGCTCTTTGATATCAAAAAGCTAAAGGATTCATTGTATCATCACCGGTAATAGACAAAAACCAGAAACTACTCTCATCAAGAGGAGAGTGGACAAATAAAATGCATTAGTCATATAATGGAATACTGTAAGCCATGAGAACCAGACAACTGCTACACACAACCATGTGGATTTATTTGACACACATAATGTTGCACAAAAGAAGCCAGGCGCCAAAGGATATATACTGTATAATTCCATTTTTAGAAACTTTACAAACAAGCAGAACTAATCTCTGGTTCCTTTGGGGAGGAGGGATATGACAGTAAGAGGAATGAGGGAGGGCGGGGTTCGAGGATGCCATATTCTCTCTCTCCACCTGGGTTACAGTGACATAAACATGTTCACTTTGTGATAATTCATCAAGCTGTATGCCTAAGATGCCTACGTTTTCTGTATGATTATATATATACACATATACAGATGAAGGGTTTTCAGAACCTTGAGAAAGGAAAAGTAAAGTACTTAGGGCTTTAGCTTTGTGGGCCTTCACTGTGAATGGAGAATGACCCTGGGTGGTGGGGGAGGGGGGCAAGGTGAAGAGGCTGATTGCCTTGGGGATATGGCCTAATGGAATGTAGTTGGGTGACAGGAATTGGGGGGGCAGTTTTAGGGTTACTCCGTTTTTGCTTCTTGTGACTGTCTATGAGATCTCTGCATAATGTAGTCCAAAGGGAAGTGGGGCCAGGAAGGAAAAGGGCTGGGACTAGGCTGGCAGGGAGGAAGGAGGCTGCTGGACCATTTCCAACAGTGAGGGAACAAGGAGGGGAGGAAGGAGTGGAGGAAGAGGGAAGAGAAAGAAATGCAAAGTGTCCAGGGTGGGCAAGAAAGAGAGCTCGCCTGGGCTGAAGCTGTACAGGGTGGAGGGGGGATTTCCACCATGCGGCCAGGTAGAAGGGATCCATCTCTAGTCCCTTCCCTGAGACAACATCGTCTCATATACAACTGGATTAAAGGTTTTATTGTACTGCTCTGCTGTGCTTTGTTTACAAGTCGGTCACCTCTGGGAACTAAAAGAACAGGAGTGTGTGTGTGTGTGTGTGTGCGCACGCGCAGCCAAGGTTTGTACATCCCCAGCATCCAACACAAAGGCAGTTTGCACTAGAAAAAAAAAAAGGTTCATTGGACAAATAAACAACAGAAAGAATACAATAGATACAAGGTAGAGAGACTCTACTCAATACTTGAGAAATCTGTTAACAGCTTAAATGGCCAAAAATGTGGGAATGGCTACGTATCAGAGCGGCACACTGTGCAGCTACTAAAAATAACAAGCACAAGTAGCAAATATCTGTCTGGTGCCTTACAGTTAACTAAGAAATTGCACTTCGCCATACACAGTCTGACACAAAATTATATGGACTTTGTTGCCACACTGAAATGTGAAAGTGACACAGCAGCAATCTCCCTGAAGAGGCCAGAAGATGAGCTCGGTGGACTAACAAACTTTGATGGAAAGGGCTGGGGAGGGTCCACATTTTAGAGTAATACTAGGAAGGGCTGGTAATTCTGAGCGGCTTGCAGAGTTTGCTTAGCTCTGTTTGTGTAAATAACTGTGCTAATTTCACAAACTATATTTCAAGTCACTTCCTCTACTGTTTTTAGGGGGAAAAAACCTTTACTGTTAGCCACAATTTGATTCCAAGTTCTCCTTAACAATCATTCACAAGTTGAGTGGAACCTCTAAGTGTTTTTGGTGTTTAAAATGGACTCAGTTCATGTTCCAGTGTGGTTTTATTCATGATCCTAACATCAAGAAATAAAAAAAAAAGACTTGTCTAGGCTGTCTCCTTGATTGCAACAGTGCTTTAAAGGACAAGGAGGAAAAAAACAAACAAACAAACAACAAAAAAAAACCCTCCCTCCACCCTGAGAGAAGTTGGGCCAAATGTTTAATGATCCACGAAAAATGAAGTGGTATTCTCTTCCTTCCTCTAGTTGTTCCTATAGAAACTATGTTTTGCAGTTTGTGACTGTCCCACAAGTAAATTGTCTGCAGACTCTGAATCTTTGCTGAGCGTTTCTGCACTGCTTTGGATGGACTTCCTGCAAGCACTTACTGCAATGAGAGGATTGTCAAAAGGATACGTTTCACAAAGATGTCTATTGCTAAAACACTACATCGGATGGTAAAAGCCTGCTTTTGCAAATGACAGTAGGTACCTGTGGAGAACCCGAAAGCCTACAAACTGTTAGAACAACACCAAGCCAGCTATTAGTAAACATTCCTGTGTAAAAAAGCAGCTTCATTTAAAGGTCTCTGGGATACCGATGAAGAACAGGCGCTGGCTACCTTTACAGTAATAACAGAAATCCTTCAGGCAAAGTTCTGTGCACAAGACACTGTGTTAGTGCCACATGGCGGGTCGGGGCTGACGAGAAGGGTGGGGGCCCTACACATGGACAAAGGGGAATGTGAAGGAAACTAATCCTGCCTTCCACTCAAACTATTTAAAAGCCCGTGGCCAAAGCGCCAACATTGTTCAGAAAAACACCGAGCATCCGCCTAGGGGACCTCCTATGTCCTTCCTCCAGGTACAGACGGCGCAGGGACTCGGAAGTGCTGAAGCCCAAGAGCTGGGGGCAGATGAGGACAGCAGAAGCTGGGCACTGGGGCAGGGAGTCAACTGCAGAGGCCGAAAGGGCGCGAGTCCACCACGGAGAGCAAGGGAGGCACCGTGGCGCGACCCGCCCTCCTTTGTACCCGCGAGTCGCC